AATAAATGAAAGAAGGACCTTATCAAAAAAGAAAATTAGATCTCTTTTTTATTTTTAATACTACGTACAAAGTATTAAAAAAGGAATTTCATGGACTTTCTAGGGAAAAAATTTTGCTTTATTTTTCAATTTTTTAAATTTTACTCGGTCTTTTCTTTTTTAGGAAACTTCTTTATTTCATTTATTTTTATATCGTACAAACAATTTAAAATTTTTGATACAATTTTCTAGAAATTTTTTTTAAAAACATTTCAAAAAAAAGAGTAACAAAAAAAACAAAGAAACCAAAAAGTGAGAGACCTAAGAGTTATTTCCATAAAACATTAAGAGTAAAGTAGGAATAAACGCTTTTATTAACGCCTATGGATGAAGTATTGGACAGATAGCCTCTACAACAAAATGTAAGGGCCTCTGTTGCCTTATTAAAAAAAATGGGGACCTGAGAGTTATTTCGACAAAACCTGCGTGACCCGTGAGTAATTTTCTGGTTTTCAAGTGTCCCCTAATAATCTGTGATCATGGATGTACTTTTATTAGGGTTCATTTTTTGGATCAAAATCAACAATAGAACATGCTCTAAAACTAGTACTCCCTCCCCCACTACAAAGTTTACGCTTCACTTCTATGTCCACCCAAACTAAACCTTGCACTATTCCTTTGTCCTTTTTAGAAAAGGAATATGTGGCTCATAATATTTCTCATTCTTCTAAACAAATTTTAACCACATTTTTCACTACTCCGTAAATTTCCTATACTCCGTGAAGGTGAAGTGTAAACTTCATGTTGGGACGGAGGGAGTTCATCATTTAACTCACCAAGTTATAGGTTTATTTCAGGAAGCTGCTGCTTATTCCCGTACATGGAAAGGTCACATGCAGAATCTTTTGGGCTATGCTTGTTCTGTCTATTGTGTGTATAAAATGATTAAGGTACAAAAATACTACTGTATGTGTTAGAAATGACTTGCAATTTGCAAATTAACATTCTCAACAAATATTATCACTCTCTTTAATATATTGAGTATTGACAAACCTACTTTGGTATATGACGCAACTTCAATGTCATGGTGTTTGTAACAACTTATAGAACTTCTTGAAAACTGCGCGTGAGGCTCTATCCTGTATATTATAGTTGAATCTGTATGTCATTCTCGTAGACAAGTGTTGCATTGTTTTCATTTTGGTTTCTTGGATTTCATTTCATTTCTCTCTCTCTCTCTTCTCTCTCTCTCTCTCGTGCTTTCACTTGGTCTATAATATATATCTAATGTCACTACCACATAAATAGAGTATGAGATTAGTGTTGAAGATAGATTCTTGATCCTCATACATTGTTCTTAACATCTTAAACTCTAAGGCCAGGTCATTGATTACTCAATTTTTTTTGCAGTCTTTGCAGAGTGTTGTCTTCAAGGAGGTAGATATCTTCAAATTGTCATCAATCTAGGGGCTAAGATTCTTTTGGAATTATAGAGTCTTGCCCTTGTAATTGAATCTTCACATGATTTGTGGATAACACATGCTTTTCCTTGACAGGATGGTTCTATTGATCCCGTGACACGGACAATCAGTATATTTTTGCAATATTTTGATATAGGAATAAATGCAACATTGCTGTCACAGGTTCTTGATTATTTCTCAATGTCTATTTCTGTTTTACTTTTTTGGTGCAACTTTATTAATGCTACTAAAATATTTGGGTTCTTTTTAAGAAAGAAGTTGGAAATTGAGCGGGTGGAGAAAATTTACCAACGAAGACCGAGCATCAAACATTTACCTTTCTTTCTCTTTGTGTGCAGTATATATCCCTCTTATTTATTGGGATGCTGGTCGTCATATCTGTAAGGGGGTTCTTAACCAATTTGATGAAGGTATGTCCTGAATGATCAATTAGGTGTTGTTTGGTTCAAAGATGGAAAATTTATCTCTTAATTATTGGGTTGATTGATTAATTAAGCTGTGTTAGGCTGGGTTCCCACTTATGTAAACACTCTTAGAGAAACATCCACATCTTTCCTTTAAGATCTCTCAAAACACACTTTTTGTTAAGAAACTTTTCCACTTTTGGTGCATAACAATGGATCTCTTGCCGTCTTTTCTCATCCGACACGCCAATTTCCAGAATTTGGCACATAATCTGTATTCGTGCACAAAAGGTGGAAAATGAAAGCCGGAGACTATGAGCAGGAATGACCGTATTAGTTGTGAGGCCAAAAACAGTAAATTTTCATCCATTAATGGTATAGTTTCTGTACAGTTCTTCTTTGCAGTGTCGAGAGTTGGGAGCGGATCATCTAGCAATGTGGTGCTTTTCCTGTCTGAAATAATGGGGATGTATTTCGTGTCATCCATTCTCTTGATTAGAAAGAGCCTCGCAACTGAATATCGGTAATGTTTTCTTGTTTTTTTCCAAGAACAAAAAAAAACTAAAACGTGAGCATTGATTGATTGATTGATGAGGTGGTCTCTTTGGCTGTGCATTGTGTTTGTATTGGTGTCACCACAGGATGATCATAACAGATGTGTTGGGAGGGGACATTCAGTTCGACTTCTACCACAGATGGTTTGATGCCATCTTTGTAGCCAGCGCTTTCCTCTCTTTGCTTTTGCTTTCGGCACATTACACATCTCGCCATGCTGACAAACACCCCATTGATTGATCCATTGATTCACACACACTATTTACATTTAGCGTACGTGATGAACGGCCCTGTATATAAAGATCGTTCTAATGTGAACATTCTCACTTATCCCCCATGTAAAATGTGTTGCAACATTTCTTTTAGAAATCACCCTATGTAGCACTCTAAGACATCTAATATTACACATATAGCACTCATTATTTTTTTCGTACATTTGGCTATTTATGGCGTGAATCTCTTCCAATCATACCCTTTTATTATAATGCGGTATATTAATTATTTCATTTTCCATATTTATTGAGCTCCATAATTTTAGAAGGTTTTTTTCATTCTTTGTAAATAACACTTAGAACCGTCGTGCCACTCCTCACTGTTTAAACACATTTAGGTCTTGTTTGGATGTTGGTTGTTAGGTGTTTATATCAGATGTTCTAAATAGCTATTTGATTTAGCTGGTTTGACCGGCAGGATGATATATATATATATATATATATATATATATATATATATAGGGAGTATATATTAAAATATATACTCCCTCCGTCCCACTCTCTTTGTCCACTTACCTTTTGGCACACCATCCAATGCATTTCTTTAATCCATTTTATCTTGTAATTTGTATATTAAAAAATTATAGAAATTATATATTAATAATCTATATGTTAAGACAAATCAACAAGATCTCACATGACTATATTTAGGCTTACACATTGAGATAATTTGATGAGTCAAAGTGCTTAGATGAACAGTTCCAAAAGTCAAAAGTGGACAAAGAGAGTGGGACGGAGGTAGTATATAACATGTATGCATGACGTCTAGCAGAAAAAACGTAATGGGTGACGCTTCACTATGTTAGGGAGTATTCATTACCTATTCATTATTCAACTCATTTTTTCTCCAACGAATGAGAGTTCGTTCTATCATTCGTTACCTTTTTATCCTACTAAATTCCACCTCTATCAATGTTTTAAAAGTCAAACTTCTATCATTTCCCTACCCTTTCATCATTTATAGAGACGATTATACTCTATCCGTTCTAAAAAATCTGCTAATTGAATTTGACACAAGATTTAAGAAAAATGAAAATTTGTGATTTAAAATAATACTGAAATAAGATAAAGATGTAGGGTCACATAAAATTTTTCATAACCGAAAAAAAATTCTTCTTTTTGAGACGTCTGGAAAAGAAAATGAATAATTTTTTATCGAGACAGGGGAATACTCATTAGGCCATTTATTTTCTATTTTTCAAAATAATAGTTACGCTTGTGAAAATATAGTCCGATCTGAATGTATCCGTCTTATTTGATTTTTTTAAGTTATACCAATTAACTGTTGACATCAATTATTCTCTATTTTAGTTACTTTGTACTCCGTACATACTAACACAATGAAATAAAATATTGAAAGTTCTCAAAAATCTTTTGAAATTATTTTTATACAAATATACAATACAATTTATTTTTAAATAAAATTTAAAATTTATCCAGTTGGACTCGAAAAAATCAAACTGAACAATTGGATTGGGACGAAAGTAGTATACTTTTTCACTTTCCTTTTTCACTTTCCTACTTAATAAAGGGATACGTATATCGATATATGATTTATAGTACTCGGCAATCTCATTTCTAAATAAACCTGAAGCACATACGTAGTTTTTTTCAATGACTCAGCATGCATGAAAGGTGGTTAATGATTAAGGGAGATATCTAACCGATACATCTTGAAATCATCAAATATCAAAATACCACCATTTAAATGGTTTTGGAATTTAAAAATATTAAATCTGAACAAAATACTGAAAGTTTAAAATTATTGACCAAGAAAAGACATGAATAAAATTATGGGAGCGAAGGAAAATTTATCAAAATGAAAACAATATGAATGGAGGTTATTAGTTAAATCATGCACGTTAATTTTCTCTCTTTTACTCATTTTTCTCTCTTTTACTCCTTCCATTGTCAACCATTTGCAAAAAATTCCCTTTGCAGATGCAAATGGTGGGACCCGTTAAATTGTGTAATGATTGGAACAAGCTAATAAGACGATCGGTGATCATGATATAAAAAAAAATCATACTAATACATACAAATTGATAATAATTAATCTTATTAAATATTGAACGAGATGAGCCTCATCCCCGAAGGCCCCCTCTTATTTAATGATTTTTTTAAAGGCAATCTCATCATTGTGAAAGCGAAAAGCAAAAAAAATCGGCATTGTTCTTCTAAACAATTCCATGCAAAAAAAAAAAAAACTTCTATAGGAATTTCTTCTAATTCTACCCTAATATCAGTCTTGCTTGGAAACATGAAATGATTAGACTCCATTTTTCATAAATCTACATGCCACGAACATTATGATCGTTTCCCTTTTATCTTAAGCAAATGTAACTCTATTAAATAAAAAAAAATATTTCACCAGCACCAAAAAAAGCTTACGTTACAATTTCAATAAATAAACATGTCTGAACAAACCTAAGATCTTCTTTTGGGACAGATGGAACGTATTATAAATTCGACAATGATACTAGAATGTCGAAAGGGTTGGAAGCTAGCACAACCCCTTCAACGACTCGTACGTCGTCAAGTCATCAAAACTATAAGGCATCAAGTCGTAAGTGCACCCAGAGGAGGAAACCACATCCCCATATTCTGACCCCGACGACGACATTGCGGGCCCCATGGGGCAAGACGACAATGGCGGCACTCGGCCAAAAGGCGGCGATTCTATATGGTATAAATCCTGCAAGCTGCTGGCAAGCTCTTGTTCGGTCACTAGGGCAGAAAATGTCGGTCCGCCCTCGTAAGTCTGACCTTTTTGCCCACGACAAATTTGGGTCGAGCAGTTGCCTGGTGTGGGGAGGGTGATGGGATCAGGGTGTTTTATGGAATCGGTGCATGTGTGGTTTCCGAGGTATGTGGTCCGATATTGGGGAGGGCTTTCTTGAATTCTTTGGACCTGTTTGGTCGCTTGGCAATTCTGCTCGAACTTGTGGGTGCATCTGTAATAATGCCTGCGAAATTTTTTAAGAAAAATTATACATACAAAATCGACTGTTAAAAATGAATTGATTACAACGAGGATACCCTCCCTTGGTCAAAAAAAAGACTCTTAATTAGTATTCACACGTCAAATTAACTCCACTTTCTTTATATAGATATGTGAAATAAAACTTTCATAGATTATTGTTTGATAAAGTAAAGTTATATTATCTACTCTACTTATTTTTTACTCCATCCGTTCTCAAAAAGAATTCCTACTTTGAAAAAGTAGAAGAATAAGGAAGTGTTAAATTGTCTTTGATGTGATGGATAAAAGTAAGATATGATGGGTAGATTATTAGAGAAAAAGTATGATGTGATAGGTAAGGTATGAAAAAAGAAGGGTAAAATTGGTTTTTTAATATAAAGTGGAAGTATTTTGTTGCAAGTGAAAAAAATGAAAGAGAAAACATTTTTAAGAACGGAGGGAGTAGAACCTTTGATATTACGGAGTATATTTTTTAAATAATTTTTATTTTTAATTTGACACAATATTTAATGTATGTTATGTTTATATAATGACACATTGACACCCAAACCCACAATTGACAATTTACTTACTCTGTACGTATTTAATACGGAGTAATAGCTTTTTCAAAAAATAAACGGAATAATAGCGTGTGAATAAAAGTGGGAGAAAAAAGTAAGGTTGGAAATAGGAATAGGATACAAGTGGAATAAGCATAGACTAAAATAAAGTAGCAAACCTTGGATACAGGGAATTGAGGATAGTTTTCTGCCCATATTTTCTCCATGCATATCCATCATCTACCAAAGTTTGGGAATCTCTAACTTGTGTCTCACATTTTTCCCTGCATATATACCATTTATTATTATTATTATTATTATTATTATTATTATTATTATTATTATTATTATTATTATTATTATTATTATTATTATTATTACTACTACTACTACTATTACGGCAAGGCTCTGTTGGCACTCCCCAATGTCAACGGATATCACCCGCTTATTTGAAACTCCTCTGATACTCTGTTCACAAAATTGATAGTTCCTATCTCTTTTAACTCTCTCCCTAAGGCCTAAACCCCTCTTACCATTCCCCACCCAACCCGACCCCAGTGACCCCACCCTAAACCCCTCTAATATACTCCCTCCGTCCCTAAATAAATTACAATTTTTTTTCTCTCTCCTCTCGATAACTTTTGTTTGTTTGAGCGATTTCATTAAGTATTTGATAAAATAAAATAATCTTGTCACCTCGTATTTTGTAAAACTTTTGAGGTAGTTTTTTAATATGTAATTTTTATATCTTATTGATATACCAATTTGAAAATAAAATGATTTCAAAAAGTAGGAAATTTTACTCCGTAACCTGCAATTTGTAATCAAATTGGGGACGGAGGGAATAATTAACTAGCTTCAATAATTCAATTATGCCACTAACATGTAGAGTAAATAAGCTAAGATCCAACCGAAGTTAAGAAAACATTTATCTTTTATGCTTTTTTCAAAATTGACTCGGTAAAAACACTTTTGTAGTGTTTGGGATGCCAATTTTCAAAATTCATTTGAAAAATATTGCAGCCAAAAACAACTTTATTTGAGTGCTTCTGGAAAAAAAAGAATGGTGGCGAAAAAATGTTAAACAATAATGTCTTTTTCTTTAGTTCAATTCAATATATGTGAAAACAACTTCCCATTCTTTAATCACTTTGTAAGCAAAAAAATAATCAATAATCATTAATGTGTCTTTTGAGCTAAAAGACAGAAACACCCTAAACACTACGGAGTAGCCGGCCTCATCAACACTACACTAAACTATTCCTCCGTACATTTTCCATCTCTAGAAAGGTAAAGTTACATTTTCATTTGTGCAAAATCAAAAAATACTTAAAAATTATATAAAAATAATTCGATCATATAATCAAACTTATACAAGAAAGATCGAGACATCGAGTTTATACTCTAACGCATCTATAACATCGTCTCCGCTGAGGAAATATGAAAGCTTTAATTTTGGACAAAATAGGAAATGTAAAAGAAATTTGTGGACAGTCCTTGAGAGAAAGTGAAAAAGAAATTAATAGACAAAGAGACCAATAAATTAACACTTAAAAGTATATAGTTGAAATTAATAAAGAAGTGACTACTTAGAATTGAACGGATAGTATCTTGTAATAGAGTTATTAGTGTTCAAAAAAATAAAAAAAGACTGATAAAACTACGAGATAAATGAGCCATATAAAATTTTCGAAATAATCGGCTTTTCTAGCATTGTTATTAAGAAATCATCTTAGATAGAAGTAAAATATATTGAAAGTACCAAAAAAAACTCTATATTTTTATTCCCAAAATAGAAGTTTGCACTGTGATAATATAACACTGTATATGTACACTTTACAATACTTTTCGTTATTATATATTGACATGATTGCTATTGTATATGTAATTTATTAACCCTTATTATTTTACGACTAAAAAAATGGAACTCTTATTTAGTATATTTATTTATATTTTACTCGTATTTAGTCTTGTTATTATTCTGTACAATATTAACTTGTATATTGAGTCTATTCTTTTCAACTCATCAGTACTCCCTCCGTTCTCAAAAACACTTCTTCTTTCATTTTTTCCATTTCCTACAAAACACTTCTAGTTTTTATTAAAAAATCACTTTTACCCTTACTTTTTCATACCCTACCTATCACATCATATTTTTTTCTCTAATAATCTATCAATCACATCTTACTTTTAAGCATCACATCAAGGCAAAATTTAAAGTCAACTGCTATTTAACACTTCTTTATTTTTACACTGTCAAAGCAGGAACTCTTTTTGAGAACGAAGAGAGTAGTTTTCAAGGCTGAAATTCATTATATATCAACAATTTTGGTTATAATTATACCATGTAAGTAATGTACTAATTCCATCCCAGAGTATATGTTCATTTTAATTTTTTGCAACCAAAATTGATAAATGTTAACTATTAATTAAATAAACTTTATATATTTTTAAAATATATCTGTAACTAATCAATATAGCTTGTAATTATATTTAGTTATAAGTCAAAGGTAAATATGATTTAAATGAAAAAAAATCAAAATTGGACAAATATATAGAGAGTACTACCTATTTAAAGAAAATTTCAGCTTAATTAAATGAAAAGACCCAAAAATCACCTCCGCTTATAACTTCCTCTACCAACAACGCATGCAGAAGTCTTCCAAGTTCCACCCAAGTCCTCCGCCGCCTGCCGGAGGTCCGATGACCGGAAGCCAGGCGGCTCAGCCTGAGAAACCTCCGCAGGCAATGACTCCGTCGACCCAAGAATGGAAATAACCTCATTGAAGGAACCCAAAATCTTTGCCACCAAATCTTTTGCAGCAACAGTCGTCCTATAGCTATTAGATGAGGACAACGACGGTGGCGGGCCATGTCGTCCATCGCCGGAACCGTGGCCCCCACCGCCGCTCTTCAGCGCGTCCCTTAGTTGGTATGCAAATTCCCGGCCAAGAATCAGTTCTCCGATGGCCCTTTTAAGGTCCGCCGCCGGCATATTCTCCGGCGAATGGTGTGCCATATATATTAATGTGTGAGTGGGATTGATTATATATTGGGCAGTGTGAATATGATGTTTTTTACCTTTGAGCTGATGGAGTGAAGAAATGTGAGAGAGTTGTTATTTATACATAAATGATGACAAATGTACAATAAAAATGTAAAATGCGACAATGAATATAATAACAATATCTAAATGAGTAGTGTAAATGCTTGGAAGGTTAAAGGTAGTTGCTTGGAAAATTCTCCAAATACTAAAATATTATTCCGTAAAAAACCTCAACTCACACGCACACAGCACACTAATGATAATTTCACTTCTTTTTTGACTTTTACTCCCTCCTTTCGAAAATAATTTTCCTTTTGATTTTTCTTGATCAAAGTTTATAAACTTTAACTATGATATATGGAAAAAAATACATTGTATTATGACATAAATTTAAGAGTAGTATTAATATATTTCTATTAAAACGTAGCTTTGAAATATATCTATGTATAAATATAGATATTAATTATCAAAATACAACACAGGAGACCGTGAAAAGTCAAATGAAATGAACATTTCTAGATGGAGGGGGAGCATCATTATATTTGGAGAAATTTATTCTCTTTCCCTTAGTTTTGGGAAGACGAAACTAATGTTGCTCAAAAAATCTTTATATATACGAAGTAAAATTTAAGAGTTGAATTTCTAGAATTTTGACACGTGGACAGTCTACTTGACATTTTTTTTACAAATCATCCGTCACCTTTGATGACTTAATTACTTGGCAATTTTAAATTAAAATGTGGAAAAATCCTATTGGAGTACATCAATTGTTTTTTGAGAAATTTACCTAAATAAAACTAAAACATAATGACTTTCCCAATATAGGGTCATATGTTTTTATTTTCCAATGTATAGTAGGACCTTTGGTCATTATCAATTAGTTATTATTCAAGTAAATATATATGTCCATCATTATTAGACAATATTTCTCCCACTAAGTCATTATTAAGTCTTATTTAGGGAATAAAAAAATTAAGTCCTACATTAGAAAAATCATTATGTTTTAGTCCTATTTAGTATAAATTTCACTTGTTTTTTTTTTAGTTTTACGCAGTCAATATTAAGAATTAGTAACTCTATTCTTTTTTAACACTCTGATTTGTTTTTAAGTAATATGTTTGACCAATGAAATTTCTTAAAATATTAGTAAAAAACTATTAAAAAAATGTTATATTAAATGTGTTTTTTCATATATTATAGTCTAAATGTTATTTTTACTACTCCCTCCATCCTAAAATTAATTTCCCAGTTTGATTTTTGCAGTCAAACTTTTTAAACTTTGACCGGATATTACTGAAAAAATATATTGAATTTTCATATAAATTTATTATCAATAAATTCATTTTGAAACATAGTTTTGAAATATGTTATTTTTGTAATATATATTCATATAAAAATAGAGATATTAATGGTCAAAGTGTCGCATTGGAGACCGTGAAAAGTCAAATGGGAAGTTAATTTTAAGACGGAAGGAGTACTTGTTAAGTTGTTAGTAAGGGTTGCGTGGTTGAAATGGCTGAATGTGTTGTCTTCAGTCTTTTAAGAAATTAGCATTTTTAATTTTTCAAGATCTTTTTTTTACTAGTTAGTAAGGGTTGCTTAGTTGAAATGGCTGAATTTGCCAAACTCTTTGGAAGGAAAAATGTTTGGAAAAATCGATTAAAGTTGAATAAGTAACTCAAAGGTGACTTAGTTATATGTATGTGTGTTATACATATCTGTGTGTATATATATATATACACACACATATATATATACATACACAAAAAACAAAATTTTGATAATGATCTATTTTCGTTTAAAAGTATTCTTATAGGAAAGCATCAAATATGTTTATAATTGATCCTTTATTTATAAAATTGATATTTTAATCTCTAAGAAGCTGACATGTGGTATTGTTTACGAAACATTTCTGGCACGTAAAATATGTTATAGAAAGTAAGAAATTAATACTATGGTATGAAGTCATTCAGTACAAGTAATTATGGAAGAGATTAGAGATATTCATTTTTAAAATATATTATTTCTTAATTATGCATATTTTTCTATTCAATGATTACAAAACTTCTAAGGGTGTATTTGGTGATCAAACAAAATATGAGTTTTGATATGTAAAATTTGTTCTAAACAGGACTAAAACATAATGACTTTCCCAATGTAGGACTTAAACTTTTTTATTCTCTAAATAGGACTTATTAATGACCTAGTGGGATGAATAATCAGTGGCGGATCCAGGATTGTGAATGACTGGGGGCAATATAGCAAAGCGGGGGTTCGGTGGCAGAGCCCCCGATTTTTTTAAATGTACTTTATATCATGATGAAAAAATTAATTTTATATAAAACAAAATTAAAATAAGAAAAACAAAATATTTTAAAATTAGTAAAATTATACTCCATCCATCCCAATTTATAGCGCCTGTTTCGGTTTACGCTGTCTGACTAAAATTATTTTCAAATCATTTTATATGACAAATGGTATAGAGTTAAAAAATAAAAATTACATATCAAAATACTACATCAAAAGATCTACAAAATTAGTAGTGACAATAGTACTTTATTTTATCAAATTGCTAACAAAAATAAGGAAAAAAATTGAATAAAGTTTGACCTTGTGAATAGTGAACATGCACTATATATTGGGACGGAGGGAGTAATACTAAATGAATTATGTTGTACGAAATTATTTAATATCACTAGAGTTTACAAATACTTTATTTAATGGGTTAATTAGAGGTCACTGGAGGCATTCTTTATTTTTTGTTGGGGGCAGCCATACATAAAACAAAAAAAGTATAAAAAAAAAATTTTTGACTGGGGGCAATTGCCCCCATATGCTCCAAGGTAGATCCGCCAATGGAAATAATGTCCAGTAATGATGGACATTTACTTGAATAATGACTACTTGATAATGACCAAAAGTCCTACATTGGAAATAAAAACATTTGGTCCTATATTGGGAAAATCATTATGTTTTAGTCCTATTTAGGTAAATTTCTCTTTTGATATCTCTAGATATCCAAATCCTTTTCGGTGTTTGGTGAAGCCAAAAGAGATATCAAATTTGATATCTACAGATCTCATAATCTTTAAAATGGATGGTTTCAATATCTCACGAATTTGGGAGATATCTATATGTGGGTTTGATATTTCTCTCAACTATTGATCATTCTCCGCCACTAGCTACCATTGTCACCGCTAACCAATCCTGTTGGAAGTCATCTCCGCTTATCACTAATTAAATCTTGAATTTAAATCTCTTCAAATAAAATCATTTCAGATTACAAAATCCATATCATTTCTACGAGATTTCATAACTCACATCTTATCATATCTCCAAAATTCACCAAATTGGCTCTAACCAATTAATAAGATAATTCTTCACTTCTAAATAAATTTCATACTCCCTCCGTCCCTGAAAATCTTTCTCCTTTCTTTTTTCACCCATCCCAAAAAACACTTCTCAATTCTATTAAAAAGTCACTTTTACCCCTTACTTTTTCATACCCTACCTATCACATCATACTTTTTTACTAATAATCTATCCATCAAATCATACTTTTACCATCACATCAAAGGACATTTTTGGAATTTCAAACCAAAATATACTCCTCTTAAATCTCTCTTCAAAATCAAAACATCCATGTTTTCCAAGATGGAGGGAGTATTTTTTATGATATATTTAAATTGAAGCAGTCAGTTTTGATTATATTTATTTAAATATTGATGTAAGTTAATAAACAAAAAACTTATTTTAAAACTACAATAAAACTTTATAAAACATGAGAAGATTAGACTATAAATTGTTGAAGCAAGTAAAATATACTAGATATTATTTGGTAATTTGATAATATTAATTTCATGGTTTGAAATAATTACTATAAAATTTATGGTTAATAGTTATTAAATGATTTATGATTTAATTTACAAATATGTTATTTTATTATTATTTATTATGATATTTTTAAGGGTTAAATGTATTTTTAGTCCCTTAAAAATAGGTGAATTATTGCATTAGAGAACTAGAAATCTAATTAGAATTAGACTTTGATGAAATACGAGTAGAATTTATATTTTCTAAAATTAGAAATCTGCTAATAATCATGATAATATATTTCATGAATATTAGAATTAATATTATTTCATTAAATTAGACATTTTATTATTTAGGAAAACTATAATCCATATCATGTAAATATTCTTTCATGAAATAATAATAATTATTATTCTGAAAAATATCATCTTATTATTATATTCTTACAAATATAATACCCGGAGTATTTATACTTTTTTGAATGCTTACATTTATATAAAAAAATTAAACTAAGAGTAAAACATATATTTAAAAATTAGAAAAATAGGGGTTACATATTTTTTTCAAAACGTCGAACTATACCAATAAATGTCAACATATAAAACCAAAATATTTTGGTTCGGTATGAGATTTTACATCGTATCGATCCCGAAGTATCGGTTCAATATGGTTCGGGATGGTTCGGTTTCGATTTCGGTAAATATTGGGGCGAATATATATATATATATATATATATATATATATATATATATATATATATATATATATATATATATATATATATACGTACTTAGTTTACACTTTGGAATGTACAAAACTTTTTCTTTAAAAAAATCAAAAATACATTCAAATAAAAGAAAGATAAACAATTGAAAAATGAATAATTAAATGCAAAAAATACTTATAAAACTTAGTTTATTTTACACTTAAAATTTCACAAACAAAAGAGAATGAATGATAACAAAATAATATTTCAAATATTTGTTAATCTTTTTAATATAAATCTTCAAAAAATAAAATTCAAATAAATGATTATATAAATAAAATATTATTTGTAATTCATCTACACTTTAACCAACTTAATTTTCAAAATAAATTTTTTTAATGAAGAAATATAAAAACTTTGTTATTTTTATAACGTATTTGTATATATGTTCAGTTCACGATTTTTCGATATGAGAAGTTACCTCGTACCGATCCCAAATACCGGACCGACCATTCGGTTCGGTACGGTTCTTTTTTGGTATTTTATCAGTTCGGTATTTTTGGTACGGTAATCCCGATATTTTTGGAAAATTTTGGTATCGGTTTGGTACGTGCTCACCCGTAAAAAGTACTATGCATTTAATTGTACTCGTAATTATTTTTAATTTAATCTAAAAATTAGTCTCAATAGAAACTAAATGTGTAGTTCAAAAGATTAGAAATAATACGTAGTATGAAATATAATCATACTCCGTAACCTTTTAAAATTAAAAGTCAAGTAATGAAATCTGATCCTTATGACTCCATCCGTGTCCAAGTGGATGGCCAGATTTCAAATGCAAATGACCATTTAAAAAAGCAAAAGGGTAATACCGTCTATTTTCATTAGAGGTGGAGCGCGGATAAGAAAGTTGGAGCGCTAATATCAGCTCCCTGTAAAATCAGTGAGTATTGTGTTTTGTCCCTTAAATTTTTTTAATTAAATCATCCATGTAAAATTATTATTTTTTTCAAATTTTCCTCCCCCAATTTAAACATATGAGGATTAATCTCGACTGCCTAAAAGCATTACTGATAAATTAACATACAGAGACCCATATTTCTGGAAGAAAACCATCTGGTCCCGGAGCTTTGTGAGGAACATTTCCGGAGCTGAAACTTGTCTGTGATCAGACCAAGTGCGAGATTGGATCAAAAATAACGTATGAAAGGATTATGGTCTATCTAGTACAGTAGAAAATTAATAAAAATACCATAAGAGAAGAAAGGCTTCCTACTTGAATCATATAGTTGCTATTCCGGGTTCTTATCGAGATTGGGCAGTCTCCTCTATCAAAATTTTCTTTCGGCTCCTCTAAAATGCATTTGATTTATTTATTCAAATTTTAAAGTTTTGAATACTCTTATTTTTAATTATTAATGTTGTTCAGCATAACTCATTAACGGTGACGAATCCAGAAATTGAAGAAACTGGGGGCGAGACTTCTACGTGGTTTGGGTAGCACCCCCAATTTTTTCCAAAAAAAAAAAAGTGCAAAAAAATACAAGTATTATACTGCGGAGTATTATTAATGATAAAAATAGAAATCATATTAAAAATTAGAGTAAATTCCCAAAATAGTCCTTTGTAATAAGGGGTTTTTCCAAATTAGTTCTCAATAAATATTAATTACCTACGTGGTCCTCTATAATTGAAATTTATTCTCATAGTAGTCCTTTGTAATAAGGTATTTTCCCAAATCAGTCCTCAATAAGTTTTAATTATCTACGTGGTCCTCTGTAATTGAGATTTATTCCCAAAATGGTCCTTCGTAAATAATATTACTCAAATGAGGATTAATTGAGGGTATTTTTTATCCGCTAAATTTAGAATTTAATTCTTAAAATAAGCATTTATAATGAAGTGCTTTCCCGAAAGGGTTTTTCTAATTTAAAATGTGTATTTGATTTGAAATTTAAAAGATTTTTTTAAGTTTTAAATAATTCATAAATTGTTTATAGTCAATGTGTTTTTTAAATTTTACATTTAGTTGTACAGAAATAATTGTTTCGAGGATATACTTTAAATTTGGATGATCAAAATACCAAAATATCTCCCAATTAATCCTCATTTAAGGACTGATTTGGGATAACATCTTATTACATAGAGATAAACCAAATACATTTATAAAACTTAAAAAAAATTAAATTTCAAATCAAATACACATCTTTAATTAGAAAAACCATTTTGGGAAAACACTTCACTATAAATAATTATTTTAAGAATTGATTCTAAATTTAGCAGAGAAAAAATATCCACAATTAATCCTCTTTGAGTAACATTATTTATAAAGGACCATCTTGGGAATAAATCTCAATTATAGAGGACCACATAGGTAATTAAAACTTGTTGAGGACTGATTTGGAAAAATACCTTATTACAAAGGACTATTTTGGGAATAAATCTCAATTATAGAGAACCATGTAGGTAATTAAAACTTAATGAGGACTAATTTGGGAAAACTCCTTATTACAAAGAATTATTTTGGGAATTTACTCTAAAAATTATACATTAAAAAGTTGCAAAAAACAATGGAGTACACACAACTCAGTAGTTTTTACTGTACTTTTTAACACAATTGATTCTTAAAATTTGACAATTTGAAAACATGGATCTAAAAGTCCTAATCAAACTTTCAAAAAGAGAAGGAAAACCTCTTACTCAACTAGTTAGCTCTCAATTTGTGATCCGTGGACTGTGGATTGCGATTCGGGACTGAAATTACTCCGTATAAGGTTTCTAGCTTTCTAGTGGGGGCACATGCTCCCAAACTGCCAAAACACTACATCCGCCTCTGCTCATTAACTCCATAAGTGTTCTATTGCTTAATCCAACCATTACAAAATTCTAAAATCAATCAATTGAGACAGAGTAATTAAAACTCTCGGTGAATTACTTCATCCATCCCAAAAATGACTAACGCTATTCACTATTTCGAAATCATGAAATTAACTTTTGTTTATTTGTATATTTTATTGATTGTTTAATGAAATATAAATATATTTGTCGCATCTTATTTTATACGGAGTAGGATTTTTTGTATAATTTCAAAAATATGCATGTTTTATATTTTAATTTTATATCAATTTTTTTAGTGATTAGACCGAGGGAGTATTCGTTTGTGATTTTTTCCAAGGCTAATCCGATAATTAGGGGGGAATTACTGGGGTAAAAAATACTCCGTAAATGGGAATGTAACATGATAAAGAGTGAATGAAGCTTATGATGATTGAATTGATGCAACCCGTTAAAAATGACGAATCTCTCAGTGACGTAAACTCGCTTGCGTCATTGCGAGTCATACCGTGACAAAACTGCCACGTTTCACACCATTTTTGGACCACCAAAACATGTTTGATCCAGGCCCGCCCAGTTGTGCGTGGTTGGACGTCGCGTAAAATTCAGGGGAGTAAATAACCCTCAATTAGGCCATCCGTTATCGGGTGTGACGGAAGTGGAGTGTTCCTTCTTCAAACTCCTCTCACACGTGCTCCACCGTGCCGTCATTGCCATGATGGGGCGTGCCCTCTTTGTGCGGGATAGTCATCCCACCGTGTAGGCGACTTTTTTTTTCTTTTTTTCAACCCATCGAAATTATTCACATCTTCATCCCATCATTTTTTGGTCACGCCTCCTTTCAAGCTTGTAACACATATATTTTTATCACTCCACGTCATGTCTCTTTATATTTTGTCAAACTTCACCAAGTCTGTAATAACATGGTCTTAGGGGCCCGTTTGGTAAGTTTTGAGAATATGTTAAGATATTGGTTTTGAAATTTTGGAGAGAATATATGGGCTTTGAAATCTAAACTAAAAGTGTTTGGAGAAAATAGAAATGAAATCGAATTATTATTATACATGTCTGGTGAGCAATTAAAAATCAAATATTCTCTCCGTTTCTCAAAAGAGTTCCTCTTTTGACTTTGAGGGAAAATAAGGAAGTGTTAAATTGTAGTTGACTTTCCAATTTTGCCCTTGATGTGATGGGTAAAAGTAAGATGTGATAGTTTAGTTGTTAGTGAAAAAGTATGATGTGATATGTAGGGTATGAAAAAGTAGGGGTAAAAGTGGTTTTTTTAATAGAAAAGGGAAGTGTTTTAAGAAAAACAAAAAAAATGAAAGAGAAAGAGTTTTAAGAAACGGAGGGAGTATAAGTGTTGGGTAATGATTTATTGTAAATAAATATTTGCAGTAAATATCACTAAAACTTAAGTCATTTTCCTAAATAACACTTAAACTATTTTATTTTCTAAATAGCACTTAATAACGTCCATAATATCTAATGATGACAAAAATTTACTTGAATAATGAGTAATGGATAATGACTAAAAGTGCTATATTCAGAAAAAACACTTCTGGTGCTATTTAGGAAAGTCATTATGTTTTAGTGCTATTTAAGTAAATTCTTCTTATTGTAAAAGTATCATATAAGCTAAAATAGATTTTTTTTAATATGTCAAATTAAAATGTTTTACATTTTGTTAATGGAATTTTAAGTTTTATTTTGTTTTGAATATTCTTTTACGATTTGATCTAAAAAAAAGAATTTATTAATTAAATTTTATTTAAACCAATTTATTTTTTGGGTAAATATTCTAAATAAAGATTTTACTTAGTACACATAAATATGGTGTACCTTCTTAACTTCCAAGATAAAGAATAACAAAAACACAATAACATATCATTGAGGTTCTAGTGACACTGGAGTATGATGATACTCCGGTGCAACTGTCATTTTGGGACATTCTGGTCCTCCATTTACAAAATTGATGATTCCTATCTCCTAACCCCCCTAACTCTTTTACCCCTGGCCCTCTAAATGTGTACGTGGCTATTATGCATTACATAATAGCCACACATTTGGAGGGGGGCTTAGGGTGGGGCTGGGATGGGGGCAAGGGTGACATTGAATTCCAGTGTCAACGAAATCCCACTCATAACATATACTCCGTATATAAATATGTGCACTGTACTATATACGACACACACACACATAATGTTATTACAATTATAGCAAAATAAAAAGATTCAAAGCCACATATGATGTTTCGCAGAGTAACAAAATTTTACGGAGAAAAGATGAATAAGCACACCTTGTGTGAAGAAGAGATGAGGAGGGGCGATTTATAAGAATCGATTGACTTGGAGAGTCACGATCGAGAGTGAGAAGGTCGCGATGGAGATTGAAGAAAATTTGTCGAGTCACAATATTGAAGGAAGAAGTCTAATTTTTCCGTATTTGATATCGGAATATAAAGGAGGTATGGAGTAACGGGCTTCGGGGAGATATCCCAAATCTTAAGATTTCAAATCTATAGGTGGGTGTATTCAAATCGGATTTTAATAGATTTTAATAGATTGTTTAAAATCGGTGGATTTGATATATTCCATGGATTATTTTAATTCTACAAAGAGTTTGATAGATTTTAACGTATTTTATCAATAAGATTTTAAAAGATTTTGTAGGATTATAAACATACAATCAATATTGATTTTGTGGGATTATAGATAGGCAATCCCAAAAACCACTAGATAGAAGATGTACGCGTGTTTCCCTATGAATTTTCAGATCTCTTTGACTCGGCAACCGTAAAGAAGAAAACCACCAGAAGATGTACGCGTCTTTCCGGCTTTGCTTTCTCTGGCTTGATTTTTGACTCGGCATCCATGGATTTTCAGATCTGGATGCTATCGCGTCCTCTTCCATGTAAAGCTCCGGCCGGTCATCGTTGGAAAAAAAAGCAACTTTCGTCTTCTCCGGCTTCGCTTTTGTCTTCTCCGGCTTCGCGTCCACTTCCATGTAAAGCTTCGTCTTCTCCGGCTTTCCTCTCTTTTTACTGCTGCCATGAATTTCATCGGACCAAAGCTCCACAGGAATTTCACCGGACCAAAGCTCCAAAGCCGAATTTCACCGTGCTCCCCCAAGTCCGTTGAAATCTTTGGGAATAGCCACAGATTTGTCACTGAATTTTTCTTTAGAAAAATGACTCCAAAATCCATCAAAATCTATTCATAATACAAATCTTTTTAAATCAATGGATTGTTAAATACTTTTAGATTTTGGTGGACTTTAAAAAATCTTGATTGAATACTCTTAAATTTTAAATGATTTTATAAACTCCCAATTGAATACCCATTGACTTTTAAAATCCAAAAAAATCCTAGAGAATCTGGATTGAATACACCCCCTAAGTTTCTTTTTTGTCTCACCAAATACTTTTTTTTTAAAAAAATAGATATCTTAGATATGGAGTTCCATATCAGAATTGTTCACCAAACAAATCCTAAACTTATACATATACAATGTCGGATCCTAAAAATAGAGAGGCTGGGGACAGAACTGAGGTTCAAGGGCAACATCCATGATCCTTTTAAAATCAATGTAAAATTATAGAAACTAAATTATATCTCAATCAAACATTGCAAAAATTAATGAAAAAGTCTCAAAAATTAATTTATTTTCTACTTGGACATTCCTTTTTATTGGGGGCAAATTATTTTTTCTATCAAGGGCAATATTAATTTTTTGGGTTATTTAAATAGATTATTTAAATAAAATAAAAATTTCATTGGGGCAAATGCCCCTATTAAGAGCTTAGTGAATCCACCCTTGCACATACAGAATCATAAGTAAACACAGAGTTTGCAGACCATAATCATCTCTGTACAAGTTTACAAAGGGTTATAATATGTAGGGTCACACGTGGTAGGTTTCATACATTTTTAAAAAATTTATGTTCGTAACACAATACGGAGTATCATTTTTGAATAAGTAAATTTAAATTCAAATCGAGGTTGTGATAAAACAAACTACGGACTAAACAAATTCTATTGAGAATAAATAAACCTTTTTTAAAGAAAAAAGATTCAGACAAATAAACCAATTGAAATAAAATCAATACAAAAAAAAATTTAAACTTCATGAAGAAAAAAGATTGCGCTACAACACAAGAAATGTACGTGACATATACTCCTTCCACCCAAATTGTTATTTTTTCCTTTTCGAACAAAATACAAAATCTCATCTCTATTATAATCCAAAAAAATATTTTGAAATGTGAATATACAAGCGCTATATTTTGCTCTTATTTTGGATAACTTCTTAAAATGAATTCTCACTTGGAACAAAAATAAGTTTACATCCAGTGATTAATTTGTTTTGGCATTTTAATACAAACAAACAACAACAACCCAGTTAAATCCCACAAGAGTAGGGTCTGGGGAGGGTGTGTATACGCAGACTTTGCCCCTACTCGAAAGTAGAGAGGCTGTTTCCAAAGAGACCCCCGGCTTAACGTCGAAAGTTGCATTGATTGACTAATTGCTACTTCATTAATTAAAGAAGCGCAGATAGTTTAGAGATCCATTTTGATTTATTCCATCACACCCCAAAGCCAAAAAATGGTGAAATTTGGCTCCATCAGGTTCGATCCTTGCTGTAGCACTCAACAACAACCAATGGGCCAAAACTTTCCGGGAAAAAGCCAACAGATAGTGTACCACAAGCAGTGCCATGGCGTCAATCGAATGCCAACCCTTTGGTTCCCAAACGGGAAGGCAGACAGAACTCAGCAGTTAGAACGTAAGGATGCCACCGAAAGGGTACAGAACAAAGGAAACCATTGCAAACAAAGGCGGAGCCCACCACATTGAAAAGGCTTTCACGGCAAGTTTTCGCTGCTACAGCAAGGATCGAACCTGACCATGAAAACCAAATACATCTCACACACAATTACGCATCGCAAACTTCATACACACCGCACAACCCACCAACAGACCAAAGGCCAAGTTTTTAACTCGGCAGTCAGTTCACCAGCGAATGCCTGGTGCCCATGACAGTCGCATCGAATAGTGCCATGTGTTTTGGCATTTTAATAATGGTGATTAATTCACTCCACAAATGAATGAGCCACGCCAATATAATTGGTGAGAAAAATGTGACAAGATTTGAATCAGAGATCCAGCCAAGAACAAGCAAGGCAAGACAGAGTTGATGAAAATACACTTTATTTGTTCACTTGTACATGCTCAGGATAATCACCTGTGTTTTTTTTACAATACCATAATGTACATTTGTATCTCTTTCTCAAATCTACTTTTTTTTCCTTTGTTTCAATTATGCCAAGAAATAAATGTAGTAGAGACTATTACAACACAATAAGCAGCCAGCCATTGGTTTCGCTTACGGCATTCAACTTAACCTCCTCATCAAAATCCGTGGCCCGGCTACCCCCCCGGCGAGCAATTCTGGGTATGAAAATCTGAAGCATTGAGAAACAACAGTGACTCAGCACAAAAATGGTATAGCCTCAATTTCTCTGTAAAGTCAACAGAGCAAAAAGTCAAAGGGTGTTTGATTGAATTGTCAGAAAAAGGATCAATAGGAGTTCAAAGAATCAAGAAACAGCAAAAGGGCTAGTGAAACAGCAACTCTTAGTAAATATCAAAAGAGCAGAGTTTAGCTGAACCCATTCTCAACCAGTTACTTTTCAATTACTAATGCCATCATTCAAACCCACAAATGACAAACCCATTTAGTGGATAAGAATCATAACATTTATGCTAAGCATTGAAAAATTGGAGACCATCCACTCAAGCTATTTTCTAAAAAGAAAGTGGCAAATTAGTGGGCAATGCAATTGATTCACTTGGGAGTTTGGGTCCCTCCACAAATCTATGAACAAAAAAATGAAAACTCAGTACTTCATCCACTCTCAAATAAAACTAGAGGTATTGTGCTCACTCAGCAAAACCACAAAGAGTATATCATAATACAATCACTATGTTGTCCTCCCATATTTTTTAAATATTTTCCATTTGCTTGTTACTTCTAATACATAGAAATCAATAATGGTATGTTTGTCAATTTATGACAATTAAATTTCATCTTAACAGCACAGTTTCCCTTAAATGTAAAGTTATTTGAGTAAAGTTATTGGAAACTAGTGCTAAGCGAGGTTAGGCGGGGTTAGGTGGAATGAATTTTAAAAATCAAGGGAAGCCTAACACCTCTGCAAGGACATGACAGGGATTTTTAGACCAGATATTTGGTGTTAGATTTATTAATATAATTAAATGATAAAAAGAACTATCCTAGGTTTCACTATGGATGAAGATAACAAAATGGACACGTGAATGGCTTTCTATGTGTACCATTATAGAAAACAAAACATAGAAAGATGGGCTGAGATCAACTATTTCATCTTCAGTTAAACAAAGATATGGCATGATTCAATTTACTTCGCAAAAGAACAAGTGGGAAATATGATTACAGAAGAATATAAGTGCCTTACCAGTTAGTCTATACATTGAAATACAGGAGAAAGCCGAGGACCAGCAATTATGTGCAGCCAGTATATAATTAGGGTTGATCGCCATTAAAAGGTAGCACATGTCAGCACATCAACGTTTATCTTGATTTGGCTTAGACACAAAATGACCAAGTCCCTTATTCAGTATCTCTGCTTCTCTAGCTATCTGTATATCCGAAGGCCAGAATGTTTGTTGTATAACCTTCAACATAAAGCGAGGAAGCAATGCCACAACTATTATAAGGAAAATTGTGAGCCAGTAACTAGGCAACTTTATGAGCTGGTATATTGTTCTGCATAAAATAAAGAGAAATAGTCAATTTCATGACATAAACGAACAAGTCTTAAATGTAGATTTGCATACTGAGACATCTTATAACCATGATAGGGAAGGACTAACCCATAATTTGGGAAGATTACAATAGAGTCCACTACTACCAGGCAGCCATATGTGATAACTATTGACCCCCATATGGCGATATGGGTATACACCAACCAGCGCTGAACATCCATTGCCAAATGTACATTGACAAGTATCACCACTGCAATTGTCCATAAGCTACCCAGACTCCAGATATCAATTGTACTCTCCTTATATACCAACAGGGGTACATAGAAGAGAACAAGACTTTGCCATACTGTATCTATCATTGTTATCCAGAACAGGTGCATGTTGTAACTTTCCTGTCTATGACCAGAAGAATATAGTTTCGGATACTTGAGAAGTGTCCCATGACTTAAATCCTTGTCCAAAATACCAACAATGATGGTAGGTACTGAAGTGTAAAGAACAGAATAAAAAACACTGCTCAAATCAGTAAGTGCTGACGTTGTTGAGAAAGCAGTGAACAAAATGTACCTATATGAAACAAACAGATAAAAATATTACTCGAAAAGGATTCGGGATAAGCTGACTCGGATCAAAGATGACAAAAAATATAAAGCACAGTCAAGAGGTGGCTTTAACAGTAAGTAAC